ATCTCGGCTCACTGCAAGCTCCGCGGCTCCCAGGTTCAACGCGCATTCCTCGGCTGCCTCAGCCTCCCAGAGTAGCTGGGACTACAGGTGCCCGCCACCACACCCGGCTATTTTTTGTAATTTTAGTAAGACGATGGCTCTCGGCGGGGTGTTGCGCCAGGATGGTCTCGGGTCTGACGCCTTGTGATCGCGCCTATCTCGGCCTCCCACAAGTGCTGGGATTGACAGGCGGATTACAGGCATGAGCCACTGCGCCCCGCCGAATTATTTCAAAATATAAGCTCAAAAAATACATCCTTCCCTGTCCCAAAAGAACACCTTTCCAATGTCTTCCTTGCAATCAAAATCCTTTACCTGACCATGGGCCTTGCAATATTGAGCCCTGTCTATTCTGACTTTGTCACCTGCACTGGCCCCACAGCTCTTCTGCCCACTGGCCTTCTCTCTCCTTGACTCGTTCCTGCCTTTCCTCCTGGTTCTTTGCACTGATTCAGGTTTGAGCTCAAATGTCACCCTCCAGAACGGCCTTCCCAGACCATGCTCCTCCTAGGATCATTCCTGCTGTATTTCTACACTCTTAACTGCAATACCCATGCCTGAGATGACCTCATCTACTCCTTTCTTAACCTGTTTACTGTTCCTCTCCCATCCCCTGAAAGGAAGCTCCAGAAGGGCAGGCACCTGCCTTGTTCATTGCTATGTTCCCCTCTTGTCACTCTACATAGCAGGCAGCAAGTGCTCAAGAAATACTTGGACAACAAATCAAGGAACCCTTAACTGGCCTGGAAACTACTGTTCTTTCAGTACAAGGGGACGATATGGATGAAGGCCTGGAGGCAGGACTACACACATTTCTCTGAAGGCCAAGCAATGCGCTGGCCTCCTCTTGAGTCCTCAAGGCTGACCAGCCCCTCAGATCAGTCCTGGCAGGAAGGCTGTGGCCACAGAGAGCAGGGATAGAGCTCCTTTCTCTGGAGGCCATGGGTGTCCTGGGAGTAGCAGGTACCTTGAATTCATCTGAGATCTCTGACATGAAGGAGGAGATCTGCTTCATGAGGCGGTCGATGCTGCTCTCGCTGCCCGTCTTAAGGAGGGTGGTGATGGCCAGCGTGGCAATGCTGCGGTTTGAATCTGTGACCAGGTTCTCCAGATCCAGATTACAAGCTGTCACAGCTGACGGATGCTTCATGGCAACCTGTTTTGGGAGGACAGTGACAGAGAGGGCAGGACCCCAATGCTGTCACTATATTTGATGGTTTGGCCCAGTCAGAAGTCCTTTGGATGAGATCATCTCACCATCCAGAAGAAAGTAACTGTGACCAGGGCTATTATCCTTCCCAGCCAGGTCAGAGGCTAGGACACACCTCCAGTTGGATCAGACAGCTTCCTCCAATCCCCAACCTGGACTCTTACCTTATTGAGGGTACGAACAGCAGCATAGCGGAGAGCAGCCTTGGGTGAGCTGCAGAAAAGCTGGAGCACTGTGGGGAGATGGACGCCACATGTCAGGCTGCCTTCACTGCTGGACAGCTGGGAAAACCAGGGGCAGCTGTTCTGACTCAAATCCTCTGCTCAGCTCATTTCCCTGCTGACACCCCCATCCTGACCTAAGACAGACAGCTCCCCTCACCCTATGCACCTGAGCCATGGACAGAGGCCATAATGTCTGTGAGTGCCCAGGGGTTCCCGTGAGGGCTGTTATTCACTGGGCATCTGCTGTGTGCCAGGTGCTGTGCTATACAGTGGACATGCCTCACTTCTATAGCTTGTAGCCACCACTAGCCCACTTTACAGGTAAGGAGACTGAGGCACAAAGGGGAAAGCAAACTTTAGGTTGGCAGCCAGTAAGTGGCAGAACCAAGATTAAATTCTAAGACTGCCTGCACCTGCAGCCTGAGCACTTAACCTGTGAAGTAACATTCTACACCTGTCTCCTATTGTGTCTACAGGATCCAACAGAACTTCTCCCTCGGCACTAAGTCCTCTCTTAAACAAATGGTTTATTTCCTTTAACTACATGACAGCCATTCGGGTACCATATCCCTCCCTTGCCCTGGCTGCCAGGAAGCTCAGAGCTAAATTTGGCACTCAATCATAGGAGCGAAGATGACTACTGTTTTCTGGAATATCTATGTTCCTTTCTTCATAACTTGGCTTTTATTCTCTAATACTTAAAAAAATTTTTTTTCGTAATGTTTATTTTGAAGACCCTACTTTATTTATTTTTTCTTTTTTTTTTTTTGAGAGGGAGTCTCGCACTGTCACCCAGGCTGGAGTGCAGTGGCCGGATCTCAGCTCACTGCAAGCTCCGCCTCCCGGGTTTGCGCCATTCTCCTGCCTCAGCCTCCCGAGTATCTGGGACTACAGGCGCCCGCCACCTCGCCCGGCTGTTTTTTTGTATTTTTTAGTAGAGACGGGGTTTCACCATGTTAGCCAGGATGGTCTCGATCTCCTGACCTCGTGATCCACCCGTCTCGGCCTCCCAAAGTGCTGGGATTACAGGCTTGAGCCACTGCGCCCGGCCACCCTACTTTATTTACATCTTTCATTACTCTGGAAATACGGGGGATATAATAAGAATGAATGAATATCCAAATCAGTGAGTGAATTCATTAATTCTTTTTTCTTTTTTTCTTTTCTTTTTTTTTTTTTTTTGGAGATAGAGTCTCCCTCTGTTGCCCAGGCTGGAGTGCAGTGGTGCAATCTCGGCTCACTGCAATCTCCGCCTCCCAGGTTCAAGTGATCCTCCTGCCTCAGCCTCCTGAGTAGCTGGGATTACAGATGTGTGCCACCACACCCAGCTAATTTTTGTATTTTTAGTAGAGACAGGGTTTTACCATGTTGGTCAGGCTGGTCTCAGACTCCTGACCTGGTGATCTGCCCACCTTGGCCTCCCAAAGTGCTGGGATTATAGGCGTGAGCCACTGTGCCTAGCAGTTCATTCTTTCTTCATTTCTAAAGAGGAAGGGAGACTTCTCTCTCCAAACATGAACTCCATCTGTTTCCCTGACCAAGTTTACACTGTTATAGTAGAAAATAATAGAAAAACAGGAGGCCCAATCATTTCTCAAAACCTGGAAATCTAACTCTCCTGCCACAACATCTTTGCTTTCCATTGGCCTGTTCTAAAACACTCCCCACTTCTCTTCCACTTTGAAAGCGCCGAATCCTAGCCACTAGACCACCAGAGAGATTCTCTTCCACTCTGAATCCACGTTTCTCACCCTGAGTGCCTCTCCTTTTCTAGCCTCTCAACATACCCACTTTCCACTACCAACCACTTTGCACCTCTTCACAGGCTTTCTCCTCCCTGACAGGGGGATTCCCACACCGGGAGCAGGGCCCTGAACAGAGACACCAAAGACTCCAGGACTCAAGGCTGCTGGCTTCCCCTTAATAACAGCAAACAACGGCTGGGCGCAGTGGCTCACACCTGTAATCCTAGCACTTTGGGAGGCCAAGGAGGGCGGATCACAAGGTCAGGAGTTCGAGACCAGCCTGGCCAATATGGGGAAACCCCGTCTCTCTAAAAATACAAAAATTAGCCAAGCGTGGTGGCGGGCGCCTGTAGTCCCAGCTACTCAAGAGGCTGAGGCAGGAGAATCGCTTGAACCCAGGAGGCAGAGGTTGCAGTGAGCTGAGATTGCGCCACTGCACTCCAGCCTGGGCGACATAGCGAGACTCCACCTCAAAAAGCAAAAACAAAAAACAGCAAACAGCAAACAACAAACATGTTGCCTTCTAAGCAATTTGTCTAGATCACACATTTTCTGGCTATATAACCCTATGTAATAGGCATGATCTATCATCCACATCTGAGAAAAGAAAAGGAAGGCATGGAGAGAATGGGTGGCCTTGCCAGGCTTGCCCAGCTGGTAAGGGGCAGAGCCAGGGCTCTATCCCAGGCTGCCCTGCTCCAGTGCTAGAGCTAGAGGCTCAGAACGACCCTCTATACTATTCTCTCCTTCACTTGGAAAAGCTCAGCCCCAGTTCACATGCACCAGTTTCATAGATCCTGGGTTCCTCCACCAGGCCTCCTCCTGTGGCCAGCCAACCCAACAGACTCCAGAGTGGACCTGAGCCTTACCTTAGCCTCTTCAGCGGTCAGGTGAACTAACAGCAGCCCACCCCCAAAACGTGACACAAGTGGGGCCCCAGCATAGTGTCTAGGGCAGGTGCTTCCCAGGTATGGACTCCTTAACACCAGTGTGTGGCCTATTTGAGAGCATTTTCTTTCTTTCCCCTAGCCCCTGACCCAGGCCTAGTTCCCGGCAAGCATAAACATGGGAGGCTGGGTGAAGGAACGCCCAGTGACCTGACACAGCCGGGGCCAGCTCTTTGGCACTGCAGCCTGGCAGATTGACGATGGCCGAGGCAGCTTCATATACCACCATCTCGTGTTTGTTGCGCAAGCAGCTCTCGATGAAGTCAAAGAGCGGGCTGTCACGGCTACAAAAGAACATAGCACGGCAATAAAACGTTGGGGATGGCCCAGCATGGTAGGATGAGTGAGGCATCATCTAGCTGGTGAGAGATGAGAGCCGTTACCTGCCATCCTCCTCTTCCAGCTGCTTGCTGGCCACCCGGATCATCATGCAGTAGGCAAAGGGAGACTTAAGGCCATGCCGTGTGACCTTGCTGATCATCTTATTGATGGCCAGGTAGTCATTCTTACGCACATGGTACAGGAGCCCTAATGCGTGGTACTATAGGACAGGAGACAGCAACAGAGTACAAATGTATCAGTTTTGGGTATACTGGCCGTGTGGCCTTGGGTGGGTCCTTCAGCCTTCTCTTTTCTAAGATGGGCACCGTAGCAGCTACTACACAGAGCGGCTATGCCAATTGCCCCAGGTACTCTTTGTACACAGCTCTTCGCACAATGCTTCACAAACCACAGAATTATAACTGTGGTTCTTGTTCCCACCCCCACTTCGGCAAGAGCCCTAACAGGCAGCATAAATACAAATATGGAAAGGGATAACAAACAGCACAAAGATGAAAGCAATGTGGGAGACCTGGTGCTTTCAATCAGACAATGAGAGAGAGAAGGTGGGAGCCAGACCCCGAGCACGGTCATGTTTTATAAGTCACTGTGTGGGACACCTTAGCCATGAAATCTTGCATTACCCACAACAACCCTGAAGGTAGACAGTTTTATCTCTGCTGACTTGCCCAAAGACTCCTGGCTGGTATTGACAAAGCTAGGTCTGGAGGGCCAGAAGTCCAGGGACTCCCTTTCTAAAGATGTGAGGTCTCATAGTTATTTCCTGTCCTCGATACTCTTTTTTTGTTTCCTAAAGAAGCGACATTTGAGGGCGAAGTTATGGCAGCTGTGGATGCCTTCTATGTGGGAAGCTTATCTGGCCCTCTTATAAGTGTTTTAAGGGGCCACAGCTGGCCCTGAAGACCAGAATCATGCAAAGGATGAGAAGACAGATGAGAGATGAAGAGAATACATAAACACACAGGGAGTGCCGACAGGCAGGCCCCAGATGGGTCATGTGTTACATGCATGATCTCGGCTCATCCTTGCTGCTTTGTGAGGCAGTAACCTTCATTTGTATTTTACAGACAAGGAAATCACGACCCAGGGAGATAAAAGGAACGGCTGGCCTAGGTCACCGAGGAAGAGTAAAGTGGATGAAAGCCTCATCAAGATAATTCCACACATCATAACAAAGCCAAGTTGGCAAAGGCCTAAATTTAGGCAGCCCTCTGCCTGCCTTGGCCAAGTTTGCCACATCATCTGCTCCAAAACAATACTCAGCTGGTTATCAAAACACTTGACTATTTCAGCACCAGCTGGTAAGCAGTCCCTAACCCAAGCCCCCGAAGTGGTACCCTGGATTCTCTAACCCAGGACCTCCCAATTCTTCCCATGATCCAATGACAAAAAGATTAAAGCCTGCTATGGCCAGGAGTCACAAGGATCTCAGTGGCAAGTGTCCATGCCAACCGGCCAGTGCCTTACCACCTGCCTGAGTGTTTTAAATATCACTCCCTTGCTCACATCTCACCTGGACCATGATGTTATCACTGGATGCCGCCTCCTGAGCCTCATTCACCCAGTGCTTGACCACATCAAAGCTGCACTTCAGCAGGTGCTGTGGGCAACAGGGCACATTAAGGGGCAGGTAGGAAATGTCCCCATCACACCTTCTGGGCCCAGTTCTGGTCCTCCCTCAGACATAGCTCAGGGGCTCGCCACTGTCCTGGTCCTCAGAGACCATGGACAAACTCAGGATGCTCCCACCCTCATTGTCCCTGCCCAAGGCATGGGTCAACGCCATCCACCCACGACCCTCTTCAATCACCCCAGAGTTCCTTGGCTCTCTTCACGGAGAAAGGTGGGACTCTCAGGCTTACAGATACAAAAATACTTTATTTTGGCCAGGTGCAGTGGCTCACGCTTTGTAATCCAGCACTTTGGGAGGCAAGGCGGGTGGATCACATGAGGTCAGGAGTTCAAGACCAGCCTGGCCAACATGGTGAAACCACATCTCTACCAAAAATACAAAAATTAGCTGGGCGTGGTGGTGCACCCCTACAATCCCAGCTACTCAGGTGGCTGAGGCATGCAAATGGCTTGAGCCAGGGAGGCAGAGGTTGCAGTGAGCTGAGATCAAGCCATTACGCTCTAGCCTGGGCAACAGAGCGAGACTCTGTCTCAAAAAAAAAAAAAAAAAAAAGGCCAGCAGCAGCGGCTCACGCCTGCAATCCCAGCACTTTGGGAGGCCAAGGGGGGTGGGTGGATCACGAGATCCAGAGGTCAAGACCAGCCTGGTCAAGATGATGAAACCCTGTCTCTACTAAAAACACAAAAATTAGCTGGGCACAGTGGCCGGTGCCTATAATCCCAGCTACTCGAGAGGCTGAGGCAGGAGAATCACTTGAACCCTGGCGGTAGAGGTTGCAGTGAGCCGAGAGCGTGCCACTGCACTCCAGCCTGGGTGAGAGTAAGACGCTGTCTCAGTTAAAAAAATAAAATAAAATAAAATAAAATAAAACAAAATAAAATAAAATAAAAAAGAAGGAAACACTTTCTTTTTTCCTACTGGAATGTGACTCTGAAATTTTCTTCAGTTTTCTACCCCACCCCCAGCAGGGCTCCAGCAGCAGCTACACACCAAGGAAGACACGAGGGCAGAGCTGGAGACACTGGGCACCTTGTCCACAATGGCTTGTTTCATGTAGCGCTCAATAGCCTGCAGCATGGTGCTCTGTGGGCAAAAGAAGCAGGGTGGAAGGAGATCCAGTCAGTCCTTGGCAGCTCTCAGGAGTGCAGAAATGGGGGCAGATAGGAGTATGAGGAGGAAGTAAGTGTTTCTCATGTGCTCCTGCACACCACCTCCACCCCACATCACCTGGCTCAGTGAGATAGGGGACACCCCAAAGCATGCAAAAGATGATGCCGAGAGCCTCAACTGAGAGGCCAGGAAGCAGGGAAGGACCGGCATGACTCACATCGGTGATCTGGCAGAGGGCTCGCACGGCTGGGCCCCGGTAGTTGTCTTCTTTCCCAGTCATGTCTTTTGTTAGGCTGCAGGGAAGAAGGCATTGTCAGCATGCAGAAAGCCTGAGCCTGCTCACTCCTCTCCAGCTCCCATCACCACCCTTGCCCAGATTACTACACAAGCCTCCTAACCAGTGCTCTCCCTCTATTCTTGCCCCTCTAAGTCTAACTCCACACAGCTGCTGGAGGGAGTTTCATAAAACTCAAAACCAAACAGGTCATCCCCCTGCTTTTGCTAAAAAGTTTCCATAGCTTCCTACTGCCAGTGACCTGAATGTAACTCCTTGAATTTCCCCAACTGGCTATGCTCACTCCTCTTCAGCCTTTGCATGTGCTGTTTCCTTAGCCTATAGCACTCCTCACCCCTCACCTCCACTCTGTCCTACTCTTTTTTTTTTTTTTTTAATTTTTTTTTTGAGACAGAGTCTCACTTTGTCGCCCAGGCTGGAGTGCAGTGGGGCGTGGTCTTGGCTCATTGCAACTTCTGCCTCCCAGGCTCAAGCTCTACTGCCTCAGCCTCCCCAATAGCTGGGATTATAGGTGTGCGCCACCACACCTGGCTAATTTTTGTATTTTTAGTAGAGACAGGGTTTCACTGTGTTGCTCAGGCTGGTCTTGAACTCCTGACTTCATGATCCACCCACCTCGGCCTCCCAAACTGCTGGGTTTACAGGCATGAGCCATCGTGCTGGGCTTCTTTTTTTCTTCTTTTTTTGAGACGGAATCTCATTCTGTCACCCAGGCTGGAGTGTAGTGGCACAATCTCAGCTCACTGCAACCTCCACCTCCCCAGTTCAAGCAATTCTCCTGCCTCAGCCTCTCCAGTAGCTGGGATTATAGGTGCACGCCACCACACCTGGCTAATTTTTATTTCAGTAGAGACGGGGTTTCACCATGTTTGCCGGGATGGTGTCAAACTCCTGACCTCAAGTGATCCGCCCATTGCAGCCTATGGATTACACTGTGGATACAGTGTTGGGATTATAGGTGTGAGCCACTGCGCCTGTCCTGTCCTATTTCTTCTTACTCATCCTTCAGGACTCTACTTGGATCATTCCCCTAGGAGGACTTTCCTAATTCAAATCCAGCTGGATGCTCTTCTGGTCTCCTCTCATAGCCCATAATACTTCCGTGATAAATCATATTACACCCTACCTTAATGGCCTGATGCCTGGTTATTTCTCCATAAATTCTGGGGCTACAGAGGCTATGTCTATCTTTGTTGCTGCTACATCCCCAGAGCTACACACAGGGACTGACAGACAATATTTTCTAACTGAACCTACAAATCAATGTATGACCCCCCCACCCTAAACTGTGGCAGGAAGAAATAAGAGAACTGAGCCCCAGTTCTTAAGGGCAGTGATTACACTTTAGTCACATCTGTCCCTGAATCATTTAGCTTAAAGCAGACACCAGTCACTTAGTAAGCAGTATACCGCTTGTACTCTGTTTTTTTTGTGTGTTCTTTCTTTATACTCAAGAAAGTCTTTGGGAAAGTTCTAAGCTGGTTTGGTTGACTAAAACAAATCAAGAAAAGGAAGCATTTGTGTCTGCCACGGGGTGGGCAGCAATAACAGGGAAGCTGCCATGGGGTGGGCAGCTGGCAATATGCAACCAAAAGTCTCACTGTCTGGTACACACAAGAAAAAATGGTCTGTCAATGGAACCCATCAGAGGAGCCACCCACAACCCCATGACCTGCCTGCTGGTGACAATGATGACATCCTCTGCGATGCAAGACATCTCCTTGATGGTCAAGTAGCACATCCGACGGAGTGTGGGCTGGGAGACAGGTGGGAAAAGCCCTATCAGCCCGGGCTCACCAAGGGCCAGAGTTGGGAGAAGATACCTCCTATCTCCACAAAGGCAGGCCACACTAACTGGTGGGGCCACCTCTCCTTGGCCCTCCCACCACCTTGTTACAGCTGCCACCTCTCAAGGAAAGCTGGGTCGAGGCACTTACATCATTGGACTGAAAGAGCTTGGTCATGGCAAAGAAGGCCTCGGTCGCTTCCGTGGTCCCCAGGTGCTCCCCCTGTGTTAATCAAGAAAGAAGTCTCAGCTTGGGACAGAGGGTCAGACAGCAATTCCTGCAGGATCAGCCCATACCAGATCCCCAGACCCTAAAGAGGCTCAAGGGCAACATATGAGACTTGGATGCTGAGGGGACCCAGAGCTGAGCTGTTGTCTACAACCACATAGAGGCTGTCCAATAGCCTAAGAGTGATCATGATTTGTCCACTCCCCTCTAATCCCCCAGCACCATTCTCCCTACCCCCAAGCTTCACCCTGTTACCTGGTTTATGAGGTAAAGAATCTTGGTGAGGATGTGGGCACATTTCCGAGGGTTGATGGGAGTTTCATTAAATACACGGGCCTAAGAAGAAGTGACCAAGGATGTTACCTTCTAGCCTAGTTCATTTCCCTTCAAGTATATTCAGTGTCTGAGAAGTCTCAGGGTAAACTGACTTGCCTAAACAGGGCTTTCTGGGTATGCAACAAGCTTATTTTCATAAGGAAAGGGTTTGTTTTTCTTTACTCAACTACTAATTATTCTTGAACTCTCGTGTAAATATTAGTTAGGGATGTGCTAACCTATTGACTAGCAGATAGTTAGCAAACATCTACTAACTGGAAACAGAAACAACGAATGACAACAATCAAGAAAGCAGCAGCTGGATGCAGTGGCTCACGCCTGTAATCCCAGCACTTTGGGAGGCGGGAGTGGGGGGAGTGGATCACCTGAGGTCAGGAGTTCAAGACCAGCCTGGCCAACATGGTGAAACCCCATCTCTATTAAAAATACAAAAATTAGCCAGGCGTGGTGGTAGGTGCCTGTAATCTCAGCTACTCGAGAGGCTGAGGCAGGAGAATTGCTGGAACCTGGGAGGCAGAGGTTGCAGACAGCCGAGATCATGCCATTGCACTCCAGCCCAGGCCGACAACGGTGAGACTCGATCTCAAAAAAAAAAAAAAAAAAGAAGTAAGCATAACTCTCTCTCTCCAGGAACAAAGGTTTCCTGTCTTCCAGGCACAAGTTTTCTCCCGTGTTGCTCTTTAAAACAACATTTTGAATGTGTTGGTATTTCAGTGGCATTGATGGTGAATATTTATGATGGAAGCTAGAGGGGAGCAAATGTCACTTGCCTCCTGGAGTACGGCACTCTTCTCGAGGTGCTGGAATGGGTTGGAGCTTCCACCTACAGTCAAGGACAATGGAGAAGGTAGGTTGTGACTCTGAACTTCAAAACTCTCCCAGACATAGTAAAGGGAAGATGTCCCTTTCTAGGCGGGCTCCACTCTATCCCAAACCACTCACAATCTCCTAGCAGCCCTAGTACAGTCCTGTGCTTCTCATAGTGCCATGTCTTGTGTTCATTTATATAACTTGTAATTAACTAAGTCCCTATGTGCCAGGGACCACCATCTGGCTGTAACTAGTTCCTTCATAGCAGATGACACATTTGCAAATAATTACACGTGTGATTATCTGGTTGATGTCTGTCTCCTCCACCGTGGGTGCAACCATTCTAATATTCCCAGCTTAGGCACTGAGTGTCCTACTTGCTCTATTGCAGTATCCAGGACACCGTACAGTGCCCGGCGTATAGTAACCGCTCAATATACTTTGCTGAATAAATGAATGATGGGGTCAGAGTTTCCAGTCACAGGACGCTGGCTCCGCGGATTACGCCCCAGTATGGCCAGCACCAACGTAGCCCCAGCGAATCCCAAGAGGTTGGAAGAAGAAAGTAACAAGAGAGCATTCGGCCTGGTCCCCTCCTTTGACAGATGAGTAAATTGAGGCCGGGGGGAGGCGGTGATGCGCCCAAGGTCACCCAGAAAATTGCAGTCCGAGCTTACAAGCGTGAGACAGCCGAGCATGCTCGGGCTCTCCGAGGCCTGCCACTGACTAGCTGCGGACCCTGGCACAAGCCCCTGCCCCTCACTGGGCCTCAGCCTCCGGGTCAGGACAGAGAACCCCAAGGAAGGCTTGGCGGGTGGGGGCCCGGCCTCCTTCAGACCCAGGCCTGGCCCCCTCACCTGACTCCTCGTCCTTCTTGTCGAATTTCTTCAACATAGTGGAGTCGGTGGGGTGCAATGCAGCAACGCAATGCTCGACGGGCGCGGCACGGAGCAGCGGGGCGACAATGATTCTACAGGGACCACTTCCGGGCCCCAGCTGGCCACGTCGCCCTGCGCTCTGCGCAGGCGCTTTCCGCGCTCTGCGCCTGCGCTCATTCCTGTCGCCGCAGCCACGTCAAAAGTTAACCCGGCGTCCGCCGCAGCCGGAGTGGGGAAAGCCAGAGGGAGGGGCGAGGGCTAGGTGCGGGGGCTACTGACGAACGTCCCCACTCTGCTCTCTACGCCTCTTTCCGTGTACCAAGGGAGGAGGAGGAGCCCCTGCCTCTTTGCGCTGTGGCGTGAGTCTTTGTGGCTTTGGGATGTGAGGTTGGTGGCACACACTGGCCCGCAGTAAACACCCAGTTGATGTGACCGGTCTATGACTGTTATTGCCACCTTCCGAGGGAGCCTTGCCAGCCACTCCTCGCTTTCAGTTTCTTTCCCCTGCCTGATTTCCTTCTCAGCTCGAATCACCATCTAGCACTTTATTTTTGCTTTCTGGTTTTTATTTATTTTGAAACAGGGTCTCGTTCTGCTGCCCAGGCTGTGGTGCAATTGTGCAATCTCGGCTCACTGCAGCCTACACTTTCCTGGCTCAAGCGATCCTCCCACCTCAGCCTCCCGAGTAGAGCTGGGCGCACCACCCCCGACTAATTTTTTAACTTTGGTAGAGACGAGGTCTCACTATGATGTTGCCCAGGCTGGTCTTGAACTCGTGGGCTCAAGCGATCCTCCCTTCTCGACCTTCCAAAGTGCTGGGATTACAGCGGTGAGCCACCGCACCCGGCAACTTTCTTGCTCTTTTGGGGTTTTTTGGTTTGTCTTTTATTCACTTCAGTGGATAACGTTGACACATAGTAGTTGCTCAGTGAGTTCTCATTGAATGAATGCATGAAATTGCATTTTTAATTTATATCTGCCGGGCCCTATCTCGTCTGCTCCTGATGCAAATTGTCTTGTACGTTATCAACTTTAAGAGATCTAACTAAACAGCATGGAACTTCAACGTTATTTTGTAAATACTTTAGATGTTTATGGAGTGCTAACTAGATCCACTGCCTACGCGGGGAGATGGAAGGGCAGTAAATGAAGCATCACCCAGGGTTTATCTTCCTGGGGACCTATGCAGGACACCCTGAGGCTAAGGTCAGTGCATACCAAGGAGCCAGACAAGTGCTGCGACACGGCCCCAGCTTATCTGGGGAGGGGAAGCTGGCAGCCCTGTGGGCAGGAGGAGTGGGCTTGTGGAGAGAAGAGGCCGGGGGCTGAGACAGAGGCCCCAGGTGAAAAGGGTGACCACAAAGCTGATGGAGGGGAAGATGTCGCTGGGGCCAGCCTTTAGGGTCTGGCTTTGCAGAGGCTAAGGCCAGGGACAACAGATCTTACAACATGTAAAATTGTCAAGAGTCAGAAAGATGTTCAAAATCTTTTATCAGTAACCCCACCCCTAATCAGGAAATTGTTCAAAAGAAGAAAATGAGGCCGGGTGTGGTGGCTCAAGCCTGTAATCCCAGCCTTTGGAAGGCTGAAGTGGGTGGCTCACCTGAGGTCAGGAGTTCGAGAGCAGCCTCACCAACATGGTGAAACCCCGTCTCTACTAAATATAAAAAAACAACAAACTTAGCCCAGCGTGATGGTGCATGCCTGTAATCGCAGCTACCTGGGAGGCTGAGGCAAGAAAATCGCTTGAACCTGGGAGGCAGAGAGATTGCAGTGAACTGAGATCACGCCATTGCACTCCAGCCTGGAGCCTAGGCAACAAAAGCGAAACTCCATCACTCCATCTGAAAAAAAAAAAAAAAGAAAATGAAAATGCAGTTTGCAGCAAAATAATTGTAAACACCCTAAATGTCTATCAATAAAGGGATGATTAAGGAAATTATGGTACATCTGAGGACTAAACTCTGATTTTTGTCTTGTCTCAGCTACTCCAGGAGCCTGAGATGGGAGGATCGCTTAAGCCTGGGAGGTCAAGGCTGCAGTGAGCCATTATCATGCCACTGTACTTCCATCTTGGGCAACAGAGTAAGACCCTGTCTCAAAAAATATATAGGCATGACCAGGCACAGTGGCTCATGCCTGTAATCCCAGCACTCGGGAGGCCGAGGAGGGTGGATCACCTGAGGTCAAGAGTTCGAGACCAATCTGACCAGCATGGTGAAACCCCATCTCTACTAAAAATACAAAAATTAGCTGGGCATGGTGGCAGACGCCTGTAATCCCAGCTACTCAGGAGGCTGAGGCAGGAGGATTGCTTGAACCCTGGAGGCACAGGTTGCCCTGAGCCAAGATTGGGCCATTGCACTCCAGCCTGCATGACAGGGCAAGACTCTGTCTCAAAAAAAAAATACACACACACACACACACACACACACATAGGTGTACAATTCAGTGGCTTTTAGTATATTAAAAAAAGTTTATGCACCTGTCCGCACTAATTGGAGAACATTTTCATCACCCCAAAAAGAAACCTCCTGTTCATTAGCAGTCACTCCCCATTTGCCCATCTGCCCAGTCCCTGGCAACCACTAATCTACTTTCTGTCTATAGATTTGCATATTCTGGATATTTCATATAAACAGAATCATATGCTATGTAGTCTTTTGTGTGTTTTGCTTCTTTCATTTAGCATATTTTCAAGACATGTTATAGCATGAATCATTCCTTTTGTAGCTGGATAATATTCCATTTTATGGATTTACCATATTTTGTTTGTTAATCAGTTGATGGACATTTGGGTGGTTTCCAGTCTAGCTCTTGTGAACAAAGCTGTGAATGCTGGGAATATTAATATACAAGGTTTTGTGTGACCCTATGTTTTAACTTCTCTTGGGTCTATACCTCAGAGTGGAATTACTAGGTCATATGGTAACTATGTTTAACTTTTTGAGAACTGCCTAACTGCTTTTCCAAAGCAGCTGCACCATTTTACATTTCCACCAGCAGTGTATGGGGGTTTCAATTTCTTCACATCCTTGTCAACACTTGTTACTGTCTTTTTTATTATAGCCATGCTAATGGGTGTGAAGATGTTTCAGTTTGCACTTTCCTGATGGCTACTGATGTTGAGCGTCTTTTCATGTGCTTTTTGGTCATTTGTACATCTTCTTTGAAAAAATATCTGTTCATATCCCTTGCTCATTTTGAAATTATTTTATCTTTTTATTAGAGTTGTATGAGTAATTTAAGTCTAGACCCCCTTTTTTTTTTCCAGGGTGTAGCTCTGTCACCCAGGCTGGTGTGCAGTGGCGCAATCTCAGCTCACTGCAACCTGTCTGCCTCCTAGGTTCAAGCGATTCTCATCCCTCAGCCTCCCTAGTAGCTGGGACTACAGGCGCATGCCACCAGGCTCAGCTTATTTTTGTATTTTTGGTGGAGATGGGGTTTCACCGTGTTGGCAAGGCTGGTCTTGAACTCCTGACCTCAAGTGATCCTCCCGTCTCGGCCTCCCGAAGTGTTGGGATCACAGGCATGAGCCACCATGCCAGGCCAGCAGAGATTATTTTTATGATACTTTCCAATGACCACCACCTTCCATACTCTAAGGATTTCCCCAGCCCTCCTCTGAGATGCACTCTCTTGCCCTCTAGGTGGCACCAACTCTCTATTTTTACCTCTAGTTTTTTAGAGACGGCACAGCTGGAAGAGGCTTGAAGCCCCCATGCCAGGCCCTGTCTGTCCACTAGAGTGACCCAGGGCAGTTTCAGAGTCCGGGGACTAACCTGAGCATTCCCTCAGTATAACAGGGAAACTCAGGGCTACTTTTGCTTTAGGGGCAGCTTCCAGCCTCATAAAATAAGTTTTCTAGTCAAAGTAGCAGTCACCTGTTTTTTTCTCCACCCACACCCACTTTTGAAACCATGCCCTCGCTCATTCGGCATTTGTTGAGCACTCACTGTTACATAATACTTGTAAAAATAGCAAGTACTCTATACATATGAGCTGTTGTTAACAAAAATTCAACTTTTTTAGGATGAGATCATCAATATAAGCGCCCCCGCCTTTGCAAACTGTGAAGGGCAACATTGTGCTAAGGTGTGATCATTATTAGGGCAGGAGGACCACAATACAAGTGCTAGCGTTTATCGAGGGCTCACCAGATGAGAAGCACTTCATTTATTTTATCCAGAGCCCACCTAATGGAAGTTCAAAGTAAACATGCTGACTTCACTGGCACAAACCTGAATCTCAGAGACATTATGTACATTGATGAAGGACACATGCCAACTGAATGACACAGCTGGGAATCAAACCAGTTTCTTGGGTTTCCACAGACTGCTACTTACCCTGAATCACAAGCCATCAACTAAAAGGAGAGCTCGGGGTGAAATCAAGGTTTGACCTGGACACATGGTTATTAGACAACCTGGGGGGTCCCATCAGCCTCATAAACATGTTTTCCTTACACTATTTTTCTTTTTTCCCCTTTTATGTATGTATGCATTTATTTATTTATTTATTTATTGAGACAGAATCTCGCTCTGTCGCCCTGGCTGGAGTGCAGTGGCACGATCTCGGCTCACTGCAACCTCCGCCTTCCTGGGTTCAAGCGATTCTCTTGCCTCAGCCTCCTGAGTAGCTGGGACTACAGGCGTGCGCCACTACACCCAGCTAATTTTTGTATTTTTAGTAGAGATGGGGTTTCACCATGTTGGTTGGCCAGTATGGTCTTGACCTCGTGATCCGCCCGCCTCTGACTCCAAAAGCACTGGGATTACAGGCATGAGCCACCACGCCCAGCCTTATTTATTTATTTTTTAAAATAGAGACAGGGGCCTGGGCGCTGTGGCTCACGCCTGTAATCCCAGCACTTTGGGAGACCAAGGCAGGTGGATCACCTGATGTCAGGAGTTCGAGTTTTTTTGTTTGTTTGTTTGTTTGTTTTCATTTTTTTGTAAAGACAGGATTTTGCTGTGTTGCCCAGGATGGTCTTGAACTCCTGGCCTCAAGCCATCCTCCTGCCTTGGCATCCCAAAATACTGGGATTACAGGCGTGAGCCACCACGCCCTGCCCTGAATAATGTTTGATCAAATATCTAGGCAAGTTGACACATAAAATTAACTGCACTTGTTTTTTGTTTGTTTGTTTTT